GGGTCTAAATCCAGACCCGGGATTAGAGAAATAGGCATGGCCCACTTTGATCCGGGCGGGCCCAGGTCGGACCCGACGCGAACTTGAACCCGGTGGGTCAGGTCACGGGCCTGAAACGGCCCGGCCCACGCCCACCCCTAATCGGGAGCATGTATTTCAGTTTGAGAACAAGCATGTGATGACGATGCGACGGTTGGTGGTTTATATGGAAGTCATCTTTTTATTTACCTGTCACGATAGACTACTTTCAAGTACAAAGCTGTACACTATTTTCAGCTATTTTGTTTGAACTTTTCTATATGAGCAAATTTTATTTCTATTTCATGTTCCATGTGTTTTTTGTTGTTCTAATTTGTGGGGAAAAAATAAAGTTGAAATATATTAGCATAAGACGAATGCAATTAACCTAGAAACCTGATTGCTTAATTTCATCTTCTTTCCCCTTGAATTCATATCAAACGCTTGGCCGATGGGAATTGAACTACGGGATTGTCATGAGACTTGAGGTCTACAATATTATACTCTAGCAACCGACATTGCGAGTTTCTTTCAAGACTTCATCTTTTATGCACCTAAACAATTGGAATTACTTGTTGAAATTTAATTTGTATGCACCTAAACAAAGGCACGGTTCATTCATTAACCGTGTTGCTGACTCTTGAAGAATATTAATCTACTTCAACCAACAATCTAACTCGGGTTTTGATTGAGGCAGTGCATGCTGAATAGTTATTTGATGTTTGATTAGGGTACAAAAATAGTTTGCAATGCAAATAATCACCATCTGCTTTAATTTTCTTCAAGCAAATTATTGTTTCGAATTATTTCAAATTTGACTGGCATTTGCAAGTGAAGGATTACTATGTATCTTTTCATTGGTTGAAAATTTTATGTTCCGGTCATAAGAATAAGAAAAATGCAAGTTTTTTCCGGAGCTAATCAAATATTTTATGTATTACTTGACTTGAAAGAAATACATAGAGTTAGCGGTAAAGTTTAGTTTTTATATCGTGGAGAAGCACAAAAGTCTAAACCTATAGACAGTTATGACTGAAATTATGGTCTTCGTTTTTCCTTATAGATTAAACTGAATAGACTCTTTATTTAGTATGACTAAGAAGCAATGCTATCTAAATTTTGTATCCGACAGCTTCTTGATCGTTTTTGAAATATGCAGCTTCTTGATTGTTAAATGCATGCTAAAACAAACTTATTACTAATGAGCCAGTAACCAATTCTAAAACTATAGCTCTGCAAAAGTGAATGAAAAATGGACGCTTGAGGAAGATTAGAACAAGTGTTAAAAGCTGTTACATATGTACCATATTTTCACAAAGAAATTTGTCGTTTTATGTGGTTTGAACAAGTGCTAAAGCTGTTACATACCATATTTTCACAAAGAAATTTGCCGCTTTATGTGGTTTGATTGAATTTGGATATAACTGATCAACTCCATAAAAAGCACAGTTCTTTATTAAAATATTATAGCTTTGGATATTAATTGAGTTGGAGAGCTTTGGAAACACCCCTAACTAATAAAACTAGTGCACAGGAAGAACTGATATTTAAGTTTTTTAGATGTTTTCCCTCAATGATCAAGTGAAGAACTGACAAACTGATGTTGTTCAGCTTCTTAAAGAGAAATTAAGTTTTTTGTTTCAGTATCAAGCATGTAGATATTGCTCCATAGACCACATGCTTTATGATAAGAATCTCTGGCTTTAATTGGTTGGGTTCTCTTCGGAAGAATTGGAAATGGTAAAGAGTTGTGTTTTAGCAGTCTTTTAGGGTAATTGAGGAGGTAATTTGCAAGGTTGAAGTTCTTAGTTATGTTCAAACTATTTTGGTTGTTAGTTCTGGACCAGGTTCTCTATACTGATGGGTATGAGGTGTTTTTTTTTTTTTTGACATCTCCTACGTAACGTAAGCTTTGATATCTTAGTTTATTGTGGAGTTGGGCCTCCAAGGAGGTTCCTATGCTACAACTTCTTCATTTTTTTTTTTCATAGAAAGATGTTTCTGGTAAAAGTAATTTGCATTTTGAGGTGAAATGAGTTTGCGTTGTTTGGGTGTACAATTATACGCACAAAAGAGAGACTAAGTTATCTAGTTTTTAGTATTTAATTTTTCGGGATGTTTTTAGATATAGGAACATATTTTCCCTGAAGTAGTAATTTATATTATGGTGGTATTTGGTGCGAAGAGGTTGTGTCCTCTTTTTTAGACGCCTAATGCATTAGTTGGAATTTATTTATGATAATCTTAAGTATCTTATGATAAGGCATATTTTTGTTGCATATCATTATTTCATTTAAAGTTTGTCATTTAACCTATCAGATTAATTATGTTCTTATATAGATAGGTTTTAATTTTTGGATTTTACTAAAAGTTACTTATAGAGACGAATCTGGGCTTATAAATTTGAAGTTCAGCAATCTTTTAAATGGTTTGGATAATATTGTATGAATATTAATATAGTTTATTAAAAATTATATAATACAAAAAAACTAATTAATTCATATACATGGGTAAAATAAATACGGTTAAGATCGTACTAAAATTATGTCACCTTATAATTAATAAATATTTTAATCTTACATATTGTTTTCTTAATATTTATTTGTAACCGTGTCGGCTTAATTTAACTGCTAAATATATGTTGAATTTTTTTATTGTCATCTAATATGAGCCAATAGGGTATTTAAGTGCAATTTGGCCTTGTACCAATTATTTAAATTTTTTAGGCACGGTGAAAAGTACATCTGCTTTGCAAATAACATATTTCTTTGTACTTATTATTCCTTCTGTAGTAATCGCACTCACTAAACTTAATTTAAAAACTTTTGGCTAATTTTTATCAAAGAGGAAGAAAAAACGAATAATTTAAACCTATCGAGTCATCAGCCATTCAGCCTAGTCAAATCCATATTCAATTTAATTTTTACACCCAACTTCCTTCGATACCTAACTTCCAAGTTCCAAACTAAATCAAAGCTTCAACTTTTAACCCTATCTCTAATTTCCCTATATAACTACCACAACCCTAAATCCCCAGGATCTGGTTTCTTCGCAATTGAAACCCAGAGCACCGATCGCTAAGAATAAAAAATTGAAAGGGGGGGAAACCATTTTAATAGACAGTGCCAAGTTCAAATAAAAGAAAAGGAAAACCTTGGTACCTAAAACACTCCGAGGCAATCCTGAAGCCCACGTGGCGGCTTCTCCTTGCGCTCCTCTGCCGGGCGAAACCCGTCGAAGTTCAGCCGCCACGAGGGATCCCGGCTACCAACGGTCTCCACAAGCAGCAGCTCATCTCCGTCCTCATTCTCACCGGCGATCGCCGGTCGCAACATTTCGCTTCGAGAAGATAGAGAGGGAGAGGATATTTTAGATTTTGGGATCAGTTGCTGATGATTCTGAGGATTCAAGCGACCCTGCGGGTTGTTTGTTTCAAAAAAATTTAGAAATTTTCTAAATAAAATCATTCCTAATTTTATTCTCAAAAATTGGCCATATTCAAACTTTATTAAAAAATTGACTTACTTTCTGTTCACGTGGCATCCTGACCAAAAAATATGGGCTAAATACCCATATTGGTATTTTAATTCAACCTCATTTGCCAAGAAGTTATTTTAATTAGGAAAATCGACGTTAAGGCATTTTAATTGATTAAAATTACCAATTAGGTCTTTTTTCTCATCGGCGACCACTTTTCCGGCGAGAACTCGTCACGTGCGTTGCACGCGGTGGCTTAATCTGTGTTTAAGCCGCTGATGTGGCACTGTTTTATGACGTGGCAGGGAGAATAAAACATTCGGCCATCTCTGGTCCTAAAAAAACCCTCGAGCTCACCCTTTACTTCTCTCTCCTCCCACTTCCCCTCCGCCATTTCTTCTCTCTCAAGCTCAGGTTCTGTTTAGGTTTTTATTTCACGATCAATTTCATGCGATTTTTCTCTCAAATTCTGCAATCATCTAGGGTTTCATTTCCATCAGATGGTTTCGCGCGCCGATCCAATGGAATCCTTCGTCCAATCCGTAAGAGATGCAATCTCCCCTCTCGAGTCAGGATTCATTCGATTCTCTAAAGATCTCGAGTCCCATTGGTCGAAGGATTCGAGGTTCGAGCATTCATTCGATTCTCTAAAGATCTCGAGTCCCATTGGTCGAAGGATTCGAGGTTCGAGCCGAGGGATTTCAATTTCTTCGCTAGATCCAGTGGATCCATGGGGAGGATGGCTATCGATGCCTCGGATGAGAAGAAGAAAGGTTTAGATCGTTGATCGGATCGATTTTCCCCAATTCGAGCAAGGAACGGGGAGTGAAGGAGGATGAAGAGGAACGAGACGAGTCTTGTTCCATTTGCTTGCATTTTGCCGTTTCTTGGTCGATTTTTGTGAATGCGTTTCCTAGTCCGTTTAAATCGAAGACAGTGCCACATCAGCAGCTTAAACACAGATTAAGCCACCGCGTGCAACGCACGTGACGAGTTCTCGTCGGAAAAGTTTTCGTCGACGAGAAAAATGACCTAATTGGTAATTTTAATCAATTAAAATGTCTTAACGCCGATTTCCCTAATTAAAATACCTTCTTGGCAAATGGGGTTGAATTAAAATACCAATATGGGTATTTAGCCAAAAAATATGTTGATTTTTTTAACAATTTGATAGCTAAATTAGTCTGGGTTTGAAACCCCAATTAATTTAGCACATATTTAAATTTGTCAAGGTTTAGAGACAAGTAATTTTAACAAGAAGAAGATTATACTGGAGGGCTAGAGTAGGCCTCGAAGGCGAAACCAGCGAGAACAAAGGCGACGTTGAGATCGAAAGGAGGTTGATCACTCTACACCACCAAACTGCTCCCATCTTCAGAGCTCGACCGAGGAACGATTAGGTTACCGCTTCTCGATTTTTTAGAGTAAAATTGCGAAGAGTTTATTTAGAATTTTTTTTATTTTATATAAGGTAGATTACAAATTCTAAGATAAAAGACTGAGATTTTTTTTGTGAGTTTATGGACTCCATAACATTTGATTGATTCAAAATAAATTTTGGGATATTGAATACCCAAATAATAATAACTAATATATTATTGCATTTGTGAAATCCCCTCTTTGAGAGAGGATTTAGGCTAGATCTCTCTTAACCCGTGTCCAGCTCATCAGGCTTTTACACTAATATCCTGAAATTAGTTTCCAAGGGTCACCACTTTCGTCTCCCTCCTCTTTTATCTACCATTTTATTTTCCGCGTGGAAACCCTAGATCTCGTTCTCTCCTCTCTGCCTCTACAACTCCCCCACCCCCCACCCCCACTCTCCGTCTCAACCTCACCGGGCTTCGCCTCCTCCTCAGCGTCCCCAACTCCTAACTCCACCGCCCTGCCTCTTTTCAACTCTCCCTAACATTTTGGGTAAAATTGATATGGGGTTTCTGTTATTTCAACCAAACTTCTCTCCGACCGAACTACGCCTCCTCCTTGGTAGGTAAATCTTGTTCCCTTTCTTTGCAAATTAGGGTTTCTTGGTTTTTGGTGAAAATGATTTGGGGTTTATGTGTAATTCATTTGGGGGTTATATGTGAAATTGATTTGGGTTTGGTGAAATTGGTTCTGCACAATTATTAGTCTATGAAATTGATTTGGATTTGGGGACTAAATTGTTCTCGTTTCATTGCTTGAAAATAACTGGGATATTCTTATCTGCGGACTTGTAATATTAGATTGAATTCTCGTTCCATTGATTAGTCTGCGAAATTGATTTTGAGTTCATGTTCATTATCTGCGCACTTGTAAGATTAGTTTGAATTTCGTATACTATTTTACGATTTTAATTTGCTCCTAGTTTCATTAGTTCATCCCTTCAGTTCTATAAAAAGTTTATCTGCATCCGAGCACTTGAACATTGTTGATTACTTAACTCCTTGAATTTTTGAGTTAAGTACTTAGTTGATCTTTGTGGACCAAACTCAATTCTATAAAATGTTTCATTAAGAAACAATTAGATTTTTATCTTTGTATTATCATTCTAATATTTATCTTAGGGGGGGTTAGTCACCTAGAACTTTAAATTAGAACTGGGATAATCCGTGGGATAAAATTTTAAGGTATTAGTCACATAGAACTAAACCTAGAACAAAATTTTAAGGTGTTAGTCACATAGAACTAAAACTAGAATAAAATTTTACAGTGTTAGTCAAGTAGAACTTTAACAAAACTAGAATTAGGATAATGGTACAAAATTATCCCATTTTTTTTTATTTTTCTATACACAAATGAGAGTTCTAGTCTCTCAAATTATTCCAAGTTTTAGCTTGGAACTAGGTGGTAAAAAACTAGAACTCATATTTATTTTGTTATTTTTTATTTTTCTTTTTTTTCTTTACATATTTCCTATTATGGTTATCACCATCATTAGACCATCATAATAATAATAATTGTCAATATCTTATAGTCTAACCAAAAGTTATTTAATAGTAAAGAACATTCTTATAAGCAATTATCAATCAATAATAGTAGGTTTAAAATACATAAATAGTATTTATATCTTTAAAATGCATAAATATATACTTCATGATTATAAAAATTTATCCCACGTTATTTTATCAAAATATCCCGCTTCACAAAATTGTTCCTAGTTATCCCACTAAAATATCCCACTAGCGAAACATTATTCCACTTTAACAATTATCCCATTTTGCATGAAAATGTCCCAATTCACAAAATTATTCCACTTTAACTAGAATTTTAGTGAATACAAGACAATGTATCATTTTTTTTTACAGGAAATTTCTTTTTTAAACAATGTAGATGGACGACATCAATGAAGAGATGTTAATAAGGATGGCTTCTAATGCTACTGTCTCTGTGGTGATTTGTGTGTTTGCTTGTTTAATGAGGATACGTAGTAGAATGAAATCAACCACTTATCACCCTAAGGTAGAAAACAAAAGAGAATATATATAGATTATAGAGCTAGGCACATAAGTCGTGTGTTCAATGGCTATAATGAGAGTTTGTGTTAGAATGAGGTCGCGTGCATTTGAGTTTGTGGTTTTGTGAGTTTGAGCTTGGTTGCTTTTCGAGCCTTGGTTATTTGAGTTTGAATTTGTTTTGAGCTTGTTTTTTATGGCTTGTGAGCTTGTGGGTTTGTGGGAACCTATTACTATGCTGGTTGTTTTAGTTTCAGTTTGTCAACGAGTTTGGTTGCTTGTTTTTGATGGATTTTGCAGGTTTGTGGCAGCTTTGAGCTTGTGGTTTGCAAGTTTGAGCTTGGTTGCTTGTCCGCGCCTTGGTTATTTGAGTTTGAGATTGAGCTTGTTTTTGAGCTTTATGGGTTTGCTGCTAATATGAGCTGCTTGCGGGTTTGTTACAAGCTATTAAAATGTTGCAAAATTCATTTGGGGGTGTTTTTTCAAGTCATTTTTGAGCTAGTGATCTTGGATTTGAAATTCTTGGATGAAAAGTGGGTTTCTTGAGTTTTTCGGATTTAACTATGATTATTGGTCACATATTGATAATGACAACTACAATTGCATTTTACTGTTTACAAGAGGCATTCATTAATGAAAATGTAGTCTATATTATTTTTGCAGTTTTTAGATGAGGTAGTCCATTTTTTGAATGCAATCTACAATGCAATTTCATTATATAGGTGTTGAAAAAAATGGCTATTTTTTGAGCCTCTATATTATCATTTATTTTTATATTTTTTATTTACATTGTCTCAGGTTAGTTTATGACTGTTTATAGCCGTTGGAGTATAAATTTGAATAGTTATGATTACCCCAATTGAATACAATTATATTTATTTATTTTGTGGGAGGTAAGCTCATCAAATGCCCTTATATTCACCAATCATTATTTTGGTAATCCTAAAGTTTGTTTGCTCTAACTATAGATTTCAAATTCTAAAATTTATAATGCTACAATTTGAGTTTGAAAAAATAAAATATTACAAATTATAGTATTACATATCCTAAAATATTGATGAAACAAATAGCATTTTAGAATTTCAATCCATATTTAAAAAAACTATGGATTTTAAATCCTATGATGAAATTCATATCCTAAAATTATAAGATTTGGATCAAACACACCCCTACGAGGATTTTGATGAGGAGAAACGAACGGTGGATGGGGTGGACACGTGGAGGAATCGATTGCTTGTACAACGAGGATTTTGATGAGGAGAAACGAACGGTGGATGGGGTGGACACGTGGAGGAATCGATTGCTTGTACAAGGCGGGAAATAATCGAGATGTGGGAACGGTGGATGGGGTGGACACGTGGAGGAATCGATTGCTTGTACAAGGCGGGAAATAATCGAGATGTGGGGCCCGGCGCTTTAAAGCCTCGAATCCCGTCCAGTGCTGCCACGTGAGTGATTTTGGGTGGGGTAACGCTGTTTCGTGTTTTGGGAGAATGGAAGGGGAAAGAAGAAGACCAGTTTTCCGAGGATGGGATCTCTCTGACGGTACTGGGGAAGTAAAAGGGGCGATTTCTTTTCTTTTTCTGTCTTCCTTTATTTTATTTTTTTGTCGTGAGATGCTTTTTTTCACCTGAGGAGATACTTTTGGTTTTTGCGGACCACTTGTTGTGATGTTATCAAGATTCGATATCATCCTTCGTATCTTGCAAAATATTTAAAATATGGTTGTAGGACGATAAGAAGTGAGAAGAGTGGTTATAAGCAATTGTCTCATTAGTAAAATGAACCAACTGTTAAAAAAATGTAGCACAGAGAAAGTCTTTACACGCACCTGCTACAGTACTCCCTGCTTGACTCGTGACAGTACTCCCTGCTTGTCTTTACACGCACCTGCTACAGTACCCCCTATCGACCATAGACTGTCGCTAGCTCGTGCCTCGGCGACAGACTGTGGCTCTGTACTCGGGCAGCAGCCTTTGATTTTGTAAGAAGGTCCGGTGTGGGAATCTTTATTTTCATCATGAACTTTTTTTTTTTTACCATATCCATCTCTTGATGATAAACAGTACTGTGACTTAATCTTCGATTATAAATCAGCAGCACAGCTAGCATCTCCAGCTGCACAGTTCCAAGAGCTAGCTAGAAGAGACAGCCTCGATCGAGCGCCTCAATTCATGGTCCTTGAAGCTTTTCTCTCCACCCGATTCTTCTTCTCTACTTCGCTCTTTGATCCGCCGAGGAAAAGGAAGGGTTCAGATTCTTGCTCCCTGCTCAAATTCAACTAATTTATTGTTTGTGAGTTTTCTTCTCGATCTATTTTTCAATTTTTTTTGTTAATTAGGTTGGGGTTCTGTTCCTTTGATGTTTGATTGTTGTAGGGATGATGGCATGCGATTTGGATTTGGTTGATGCTTTAATTTTCTATTTATCGTTGGTTCTAGATCTGGTCATGTCTATTGTTTGATTTTTTTTGGGTATTTTAATAGAAAGTTCAAGTATTTATGCACAAAAATATTTGTTCTTTTTTCATCTGTTGATGTAATTCACGATGTATATATTAAAATCGAATTGTTAGCGATCTGTTTGATTCTGCTTTGTAATAATTGGGAATTTTAGAAGATTAATAGGGCTTTATGGTTGTGAAGTGTGAACGGTTCATAAAGTTTTGTCTTTTATAATGTTTATTTTTAATGGGAGGCATATGGTATTTTTACGTTTCAAAGAGTACGAAGGTATTGATTTTCCATAGATCAGAAAATATGGTAAAATTTGTTCTATTTACTTTATATTTCTTTAGTTGTTTTATTCACTTTTTAAGGCCTGATGGGATAAACTACCTTGTTATTGATTTCTGATATTATCCTTTATGCTTGGCAGGCTCCAGCCGTCTCCGCTCCCACCGCCAGCCGCCTCCGATCCCGCTTCTCTCGCCGCCACGACGCCACCAAACGTCAACCTCAACGGTTCTATCATTCTAACTAAAGCTATTTAATTTTCGTTATCATTTATTCATATTAATTTTATGCTTAATTAGAGATATTGTAGTCTTGTAGATATACATTGAAAGTTTTTTATTGCTTATCGTGTATAATTGATTATACCCGTAGCAGTTGCTTTCGCTGAAAGAAGTTTTTCAAAATTAAAATTATTAAAATATTATTTAAGATTGATCATGTTACAATATAGATTGAATGGTTTAGTAATATTATCTATCGAAAATAATATGTTAGAAAATATTAAATATAAAACTTTAATTAGTAATTTTGCAGCTCAAAAGGTAAGAAGAATGAGATAAAATCTATTATGAGCTGTATCACTTAGGCCTCATCTAATATCTCGCCTTGGGCCCCAAAATTCCTACGTTTATTTACCGGTCGTGATGGACTACTTTTCCAAGTACAAAATTGTACACTATTTTCAGCTATTTTGTTTGAACTTTTCTATATGAGCAAATTTTATTTCTATTTCATGTTCCATGTGTTTTTTGTTGTTCTAATTTGTGGGGGAATATAAAGTTTAAATATATTGCATAAGACGAATGCAATTAACCTAGAGACCTGATTGCTTAATTTCTTCTTTTTCCCCTTGAATTCATGTTTAAATATATTGCATACTACGGAATTGTCATGAGACTTGAGGTCTATAATATTATACTCTAGCAACTGACATTGTGAGTTTCATTCAAGACTTCATCTTTTATGTACCTAAACAATTGGTATTACTTGTTGAAATTTAATTTGTATGCACCTAAACAAAGGCAAGGTTCATTCATTAACCATGTTGCTGACTCTTGAAGAATATTAATCTACTTCAACCAACCATCTAACTTGGGTTTTGTTTGAGGCAGTGCTTGCTGAATAGTTATTTGATGTTTGATTAGGGTACAAAAATAGTCTGCAATGCAAATAATCACAGTCTGCTTTAATTTTCTTCAAGCAAATTATTGTTTTGAATTATTTCAAATTTGACTGGCATTTGCAAGTGAAGGATTACTATGTATCTTTTCATTGGTTGAAAATTTTATGTTCCGGTCATAAGAATAACAAAAATGCAAGTTTTTTTCCGGAGCTAATCAAATATTTTATGTATTACTTGACTTGAAAGAAATACATAGAGTTAGCGGTAAAGTTTAGTTTTTATATCGTGGAGATGCACAAAAGTCTAAACCTATAGACAATTATGACTGAAATTATGGTCTTCGTTTTTCCTTGTAGATTAAACTGAATAGACTCTTTGTTTAGTATGACTAAGAAGCAATGCTATCTAAATTTTGTATCCGACAAAATATGCAGCTTCTTGATTGTTAAATGCATGCTAAACAAACTTATTACTAATGAGCCAATAACCAATTCTAAAACTATAGCTCTGCAAAAATGAATGAAAAATGGGCGCTTGATGAAGATTAGAACAAGTGTTAAAGCTGTTACATAAGTACCATATTTTCACAAAGAAATTTGTCGTTTTATGTGGTTTGAACAAGTGTTAAAGTTGTTACATATGTACCATATTTTCACAAAGAAATTTGTCGTTTTATGTGGTTTGATTAAATTTGGATATAACCAATCAACCGCATACAAAGCACAATTCTTTATTAAAATATTATAGCTTTGAATATTAATTGAACTTCGTTGGAGAGCTTTGGAAACACCCCTAACTAATAAAAATAGTGCACAAGAAGAATTAATATTTTAAGTTTTTTAGCTGTTTTCCTCAATGATCAAGTGAAGAACTAACAAACTGATGTTGTTAAGCTTTTTAAAGAGAAATTATGTTTTGTTTCAGTATCAAGCATGTAGATATTGCTCCATAGACCACATGCTTTATGATAAGAATCTCTAGCTGTAATTGCTTGGGTTCTCATCGGAAGAATTGGAAATGGTAAAGAGTTGTGTTTTAGCAGTTGGTGGTGGGGAGAGGCAACGGATGAGAGTAAGGTTTAATTGGTTGGTTGTGTATCATATGCTAACTTTCAAAATGGTGTTTTGAAAACGGTTTTGAAAAATAAACGCCATGACATGATGTTTTTTAAAAAACACAAAAAAAAAACACTTTGGTTACCAAACGCTTCCTTAATAAACAAACATTTCCAATACTAATGTTTCTAACTCTAAAAAAAAGAAAACACATTGAAACACTTTCTTAATAAGCCAAAATAATAAAGGATGTAAATTAGTCGCTGGGTGGGAAAATGGGAGCCTGGGAGGGAGCGGGAGCGGGAGCATTATTACCCTTGGAAAGCTTTTATTTCGACACTGATGATAAATAGGCCGAGAGCAACAATTCCTCCCCCCGCCACAACAGTAAAGACAGTCATTACGACCATGGGGATTTTGAAAAGCTCCAGGATAACTAAAAGTACAACCGATAGGAAGATCCAGTTTGCAACGACAACCCAAAGATTGGGGGTTCTGCTACCTATCCAGTTTGCCAACATAATAGCAGTTTTAAAAACAAAAAAAAAACATAGAGCAACACCCTCATGGTTTTTAGCCTCTGCCAAACACAAAAATACTATAAGAAAAAATCTCAACTTGAAAGGAAAAACAAATTTAAAAAAAAAATAACTAACCTTGTCGTGGGCCTTGGCGTTTCCGTCGGCGCCGACCTTTTTTAGGAGGGTTGCCACCTTCAGCAGACTTCAAACATGGCCAACATCCCTTCACATGCAGACAAAAACATAAATATATACAATGGAGATAAAAAAATCTCCTTGGGCAATATATACGTTGTATGTACTATTCACCCCTAGCTAATTTTATCACTTAATCATACATGTTTCAGATATATACTAATCAATCATATATTCATCAGAATACGTAGCTATGAGTTCACGTCAAACAATAGGAAACAACCCTTATCAAATAGGAGATGCACACATTTAGCGATGCATAGCTACACGATGGAATTTCAGATATAATTCTTATCAAAAATTTTAAGAAAATTAAAATAGATAGATTCTTAACGGATTATGATAGGGAAAAAATAGAAGAATAAAAGTAGTGATCACATGCTCCTATTGTTGAGAGAACATGATAAAATTAGCTTCCTTATTTTGGAAATATTTTATGTTATTCTCTTTTTTTATATAGCATTAAGAAAAATTAGAAAATGCATGAAAGATCAAGAAGATGAGCACGTGAAAATAAAGAAACGACTCGGTTTTTTTCAAGTACTTAAATATCACACAAAAAGTTAAACAAGAATATGTTATTCTCTTTTTTCACTTAGAAGTTGTGTATTAATAATATTATATGAGAATAAGCTCTTTTTTAGAAAATAAAAAGGTTTAAAACTTAATTTTAGAACAAAAGCAAGCAAATATTCAAACTCTGTGACTTTCACTGTTCCTTCTACTGGGAATCAAACTCTGGTTATTCTAAAATAAGTAAAAGAATCATAATATAAAATACACGTCCGTATTTAAAATTTCAAGGTATAAATAAACATGCAAAAAATATATTAATTTGCTTATATATATATATATATATTATATATTAGATATATATATATATATATATATATATATATATATATATATATATATATATATATATATATATATATATATATATATATAATACATATATATATATATATATAAACTTAAAAAAGAGAAGTAGAAAACTGGGTTATTGTTTTGGTTGCCAGGAGGGTTGGCCACCTTCAGCAGGCTTGCGAACATGGCCAACATCCAGCGTTGCCATGAGGAGGGTTGACGCCTTCAGCAGGCTTGCACTATGGCCAACATCCGACGTTGCCCAGGAGCAAGGTTTTCTAGCGGCCAGGGCATTATCGCCCCGCACCTGTGATACGCCAACCACCGACACCTGTGATTCGTCGAGCTCAGGGTAGGATTGGTCTGGTGAGGGGCCACCGCGATGGGACTGGTCTGGTGAGGGGATGGGAGGAGGGGGTTGTCACCAGAGTTCCAACATGGCCAACATCCCTTCACATATCAGATAGAAACATAAATATACATATACTTATATATATAAACTTAAAAGAGAAGAAGAAAACCTTTTGGGGGTGGGACTGCTCTGGTGAGGGGCCTTCTTTTACTTGTTTTGGAATATCCAGAGTTTGATTCCCAGTAGAAGGAACGGTGAAAGTCACAGAGTTTGAATATTTGCTTGCTTTTGTTCTAAAATTAAGTTTTAAACCTTTTTATTTTCTAAAAAAGAGCTTATTCTCATATAATATTTTTAATACGCAAATTCTAAGTGAAAAAAGAGAATAACATATTCTTGTTTGACTTTTTGTGTGATATTTAATTACTTGAAGAAAACCGAGAGTCGTTTCTTTATTTTCCCTTGCTCATCTTCTTGATCTTTCATGCATTTTCTAATTTTTCTTAATGCTATATAAAAAAAAGAGAACAACATTTATAAATACAAAATAAGGAATCTTATTTTATCATGTTCTTTCAACAATAAGAGCATGTGATCACTGCTTTTATTCTTTTATTTTTTCCCTATCATAATCCGTTAAGAATCTATCTATTTTAATTTTCTTCATATTTTTGATAAAAATTATATCTGAAATTCCATCGTGTAGCTATGCATTGCTAAATGTGTGCATCTCCTATTTGATATGGGTTGTGTTTCCTATTGTTTGATGTGTACTCATAGCTACGTATTCTGACGAATATATGATTGATTAGTATATATCCGAAACATGTATGATTAAGTGATAAAATTAGCTAGGGGTGAATAGTACATACAACATATATATTGCCCAAGGAGATTTTTTTTATCTCCATTGTATATATTTATATTTTTGTCTGAATGTGAAGGGATGTTGGCCATGTTTGAAGTCTGCTGAAGGTAGCAACACTCCTCCTAGTAACGTCGGCGCCGGTGGAGACGCCGGGGCCAACGACAAGTTTAGTTATTTTTCTTTTTAAATTTGTTTTTCCTTTCAACTTTAGATTTTTTCTTATAGTATTTTTGTGTTTGGCAAAGGCTAAAAACCATGAGGGTGTTGCTCTATGCTTTTTTTGTTTTTACAACTACCATTATGTTGGCAAACTGGACAGGTAGCAGAACCCCTAATCTTTGGGTTGTCGTTGCAAACTGGATCTTCTTCCTATCGGTTGTACTTTTAGTTATCCTGGAGCTTTTCAAAATCCCCATGACTGTCTTTACTGCTGTGGCGTGGGGAGCAATTATTGCTCTGGGCCTACTTATCACCAATGTCGAGATTAAATCTATCCAAGGTTAATGCTCCCGCCCCCTCTCCCAGGCTCCTATTTTCCCTCCCAGCCACTGATTTAAAGCCTTTATTATTAGTGCTTATTAAGGAAGTGTTTCAATGTGTTGTCTTTTTTTTAGGAGTTAGAAGTATGAGTATTGGGAATGTTTGTTTATTAAGGGAGCATTTGGTAACCAAAGTGTTTTTTTGTTGTGTTTTTAAAAAACATCATGTCATGGCGTTTATTTTCCGAAAGCGTTTTTAAAACACCATTTTGAAAGTTAGCATATGATACACACCCAACCAATTAAACCTTACTCTCGCCTGTTGCCTCTCCCCACCACCAACCACTTGTCGGCCAACAGTCGTCACCGGCCGCCGCCGCT